TATTCTGATTCTGTAGCCTAAAAGAAAGCAAAGTGTCGCCTCGAAAGCCTGTACATTAGACTACCTCAGCCGGTTCACAGCGCTGTAATATTCAAAGGATCCAAAGTATAAAGGTAAAAGTTGCTAGAGTTGCAATTATCATTTGCCTGCCCTGCCTGGGCAAGGCCCCCTGGAGCCAAATGCAGACCCTGCCAGGAGAGACTGGCACTTCAACAGTGAAGCTGCCACTCCTTAATGACATGGTGGGGACACTGAATTCTGGAGCTCACAAAAGAAGGCATTTGTTTTGGTTTTTTGATGCTAATACAGAGAATCCTCCAGTTATAACCATTCTTTCAGCAACTGTTTGAAGTTACAACAGCACTGCAAGAAAGTGACTTACAACCAGTTCTCACATTTAAAACCGCTATGGCATCCTTGCGGTCACGTGATCAGAATCCAGGTGTTTGCCAACCTGCGTGTGTTTAGGATGGTTGCAGCACTTGGGGGTCATTTGTGACCTCTCCAGCCAGCTTCTGACAAGCAAAGTTAATAGAGAGAGGCTACAGTGATGTGCTTAACAACGATGGCAAAAAGGGCCATTAAAAGAGCACTTAATACATGCCTTACTTAGCAACAGAAACTCTGGACCTAATAGTCATTGTAAGTTGAGGACGTTCTGTATATTTGCTGTTCCAGTTGACAAAAAACCTGATAAGCCTTCAATATTCCACGTCACAGATGCTGGAATCAGCACGCCCAACGCTGGATATAGTTTCAGAAATAGCTACAGGTAGTCTTCGACTTGCAACAATTCATTTAGTGGCTGTTCAAAGCTACAACGGCACCCCCCAAAAAGGGACTTGTGACACCATTTTTCACACAACCGCTGCAGCATCTCCACGGTCATGCGATCAAAATTCAGCGTCCGGGGATCACATGACCCCTCCCCCCTTTTGCGTGGAAAGGTCGCTTCTTTCAGCAAAAGGGAGGTGCACAGTTTTGAACCCAGATCTAGCAGAGCAAAGTTACAGGCATGCGCATTATGCCTCTCAGAATCTCCTTAAAGAAGCTGCTGTCCAGCTTTGGAAGCCATATTGAGATCCGATGCTCCCACGCTGCCACAATTGAGCCTGGGAAAGTGGGAGGGGGGAATTCATTGGAGTGTATCTAGTTAGACATAATAAAACTCTTTTTCTGATTCAAGGTCAGGTCGTGTTGCGCATAGTGAAAGGAAGTCTTACTTTGGGACGGATGGTGATTGGGCCATGTGATGTAGTGATGGGTGTAGGGGATGGATTTGTAGTTTTTACTTATTGCAAGGGAGCCCGGAACTTTCAAATTCGGGATTCTACAGTTGTGCCAGTTACTATCCAAATAAAAAGGAACGTTTGAGAAGATGCCTGTCTCTGAGTTACTGGTTGGAATGGAGGTTTGCTGGAATGCTGACAGCTGCACCTTTACCCGGGCCTGTTGCGCAATCTCAGGAATATACAAATTGAGTTAACAGAACCCTGGAAATCAATCACAAAGATTCCTAGACTGCTATCCTTCTTCTGAAAAGAACGCCCAGCTGCTCCACCGTGTTGGGAAACAGAATATTTTTAGAATCTGCTAGATTATAATTTCACCACCCAGGGTCCTGCTCCCCTCCCAGCTATTGAAAACATTCCATTTTTCATGACTGAGCAATGATGCAAAAACCGTGTTATAAATGCTTTCAACTGGCTCAGTAGATCAGCAAGAATAGATGTAGGATTTATATAAATTTGCCCCCATGGAATCATCAATGCAGCTTTAATAACTACCAGCAGCAAAAGCTGCTCCAAAGATATTAAAACCAGGGAAGTTTTTCACTGGTTCAGCACTTCAGGATCCAAGATTAGTCCCTTCGCTGCCTTTGCAAAGAGAACGTTGGGCAAACTAGAGAAGGGTTTGCTCCGTCAACAATTTTCCTCTTTCCCAGTTAATGCAAACTGGCTGAACACCCACTGTAAGAAAACCAAGAGGCGCACCACTGCTTTGTCAGGGAAAGAGAATGAAACTGACTTGGCATGCAGTGCAGTCCTTCCATCAAGTCTAGGACCACGGGGCCTATGCAACTGTAAAGAGACTCTATGCTTTGACACCACCAGCACAGCAAAGGCAGTCGAAACAGAGTCGTGCAACTTTGATCTCCTGCTTCAGAGACTCTGCTGCAAACCTCAAGCACAGGGGTCCCCAAACTTGGCAACTTTAAGACTTGTGGACTTCAACTCCCTGAATTCTAGGAGAATTCTGGGAGTTGAAGTCCACAAGTCTTAAAGTTGTTTGGAGACCTCTGCTCAAACGGAACCTTTCTCTTACAATCACATCTCCAAAAGAGTCTGAATGCAGCCTAGCTCTCTCTCACACTCATTCTCTCTCTCACACACCCATTCATTCTCATTCTCTCTCTCTCCACACACACACACACACACACACACACACACAAACACACACAGCTGGTGCTCGACTTAAAACCACAACTGAGCCCCAAATTTCTGTTGTTAAGTGAGGCGTTGGTTAAGCAAGTTTTGCCCCGTTTTATGACATTTCTTGCCACGGAAGTTGTTAAGTTACTACTGTTACTACTGTTAAAGTGAATCTGGCTTCCCCCATTGAGTCTGCTTTTCAGACGATGACAGAAGGTGGTCACATGACTCAACAGGACACAACAACGGTCATAAATATGAAGCAGTTGCCAAGTGTCTGGATTTTGATCACGTGACCATCGGGATGCTACAAAGGATGCGAACTGTGAAAAATGTTTGTAAGTCACTGTATTCAGTAGTGTTGTACCTTTGAGTGGTCTCTAAATGAACTGGGGGAGGGGGGAGGGGGAAAGAGAGAGGGAGGGAGAGGGAGAGGGAGGTGTGTGTGTGTATGTAGTTGAGTGGGCCATTTTTTTTTTAACTGTGCCACATGAACTGTCATGGGTATCGATAAAATCCCAAGTGGGCAAAAAGAAAATCATAGAGTTGGAAGGGATTAATTAGGTTATTGAGTCCAACCCTCTGAATAATATAGACAATAAAAAGCAGCCACTCAGTCTCTTGTGTAATTTGTCCCATTATTAAGCTGTTCTTATTATGAGGAATTTCTCTGGTAACATTCAGTTGTTGTGGGGAAAATAGGAGGTGGAAGGGATATTAAATAGGTTCGCCCTGTTTGAGTTGTTTATTAAAAAAATATTTTGAAGGAGGGGATAATAAAGAAGAACCTTCTTGTAATTTAAATTCATTATTCTGAATCTTACACTCTGCAATGAGAACAAGCAACCTTTTCTGTGCAACATTTAATTTGAACCTTAATTTCTAGTTACCCAATCATTCTAATTACTCTTCTCTGAACTGGGTCAGAACAGAATGAACAGAATGATTCCTTCCAATGATTTGGAAAATATGCTTCCATGGAACATTTGCTTTATTTTAATCCAAGTTCTATTGCTCGTTCGTATTCGGCTTGGGACTCACTATTATTTCAGAATAATTCTCATAAATACAACAGGTAGTCTTCAACTGTGAACCATTAATTAAGTGACCATTCAAAGTTACAACGGCACTGAAAAATGGGACTTTAGAAACAGACCTCAAATTTACAATTCGAGGACTGTTTCTAAAGTCCCATTTAGAAGTCCCATTGATTCAGCATCCCTATAATCACATGATTAAAATTTGGTTGCTTGGTGTCTGGCATATATTTACAATGGGTGCAACGTCCTGGGATCATTATTTACAATCTTAACAACCACCTTGCTTAACAAGGAGATTCTGGTCTTAATTGTGGTTGTAAATCGAGGACTAACTATATTCCCATCCCATACAACTGCATTTTTGTTTTCTAAGTTAAGAACCTTGTAACTTTTATTTTTTAAATGTATTACCTTCAGTCAATTTCTTTTTTCCATCAAAAAACCATCAGGACCGATGTTTCTATACAGGATCAATCAAGAAGCCCATAAACCAGGAATAAAGACCAGAGATCTCTTCCAGTCCTGTCTCCATAATCTGATATCAAGTATATCTTGTTTTCTTATAGCTTTCATTATAGCTTTCAATAAATCTCTATTGTTCCAGATATTTACATGCTCGCTGGTATATTTAAAACTAGATAAACTCTAAATATGGGGACTTATCCCCACTACCGTGCTAATGGCTATTGGTATTCTAACTTACATTTTATCAAGGTTGGCTGATTGAAGATGTATGGACTTCAACTCCCAGAATTCCCCAGCCAGCATGGCTGGCTGGGGAATTCTGGGAGCTGAAATCCACACTTCAAGCTGTCTATGTTGAGAAACACTGCTCTAATTTCTTCTACAACATATTCTTTTTTTTAAAAGCTATCCAAAAAGCTATTGGTGTTGTATTTTGTGGTTCACACAAGAAACAAAATATTCAATCACATAAAAGTACTAGAGAAAACAGACAAACTTCAACAAGAAGACTTGGCTTATATACAGTGGCACAGTTCTGCTACATGTTTGTTCGGTAAACGTTTTAAAGATTCCAAATGCACAAAAATCACACCGACCCATACTTATATCCCCCCTCCAATACGCATCTGTCAATGTATTTTGTATGCCGCCCAGAGTTCACCAGAGTTGGGCAGTCAAAAAAAAAAAGAAGAAAAGAAATAAATAAAGTGCATTAAAAACATCGTTTAATTCTGAACAGCGATATATTTTGGCATGCTTTTTGAGCCAAGAATGGTATCCTAACCTTTTTAGAGAAGGGCAGCATTCAAAAGGTAATTAACACGATAAGGCAGACATTCATATGGGAGGAACAGGTCAGGTCAGGTGGCATCAGATTTTAGCAAGAAGGAATTCCCCAAAGGATCCCAGTCATTTAAACGCAACCCACCCAACTTGACGGAGCGTTATTTTGGAAACCCTTCAAAAAGCTGGATGGGGGGGTGGGGGGACAAAGTTAAGAAGAGGCAAGAAAATATATGAGAAGCATGGAATCCAAAGGCCTTAGAAGCATACAGTCCCTTACTTGAGGGGAGCTGCCAGGAGAGAAAGCTTGATTGGAGACAGGAGAAGTGGGAGACTGGTTGGCTGGGGAGCCAGCATTGCTGCGGTACTGCTGGAGTGAGCCCTACAGAAGGACACAGCGTTAGAGACTGTGGGGAACAGGAGGAGAGGGAGAGAAAACACAGGTTTCTTTCATGGACAGGTAGGGGCGGGGGGGGGGGGGGGAGGAAAATGAGAAGAGAACAGAAGGCAAGAATAGTCCTGGATGAATTCAGCAGCACACAGTACGGTTCAACAATGCTCGGATAAGTCATGAACCTAAAAAGGGCTTCTTCTCTCAAAAGGCAACTGGACTGGTTTTTTCCTTGAGGAAGGAGAAGACTTTCGCTTCTCATCCTAGAAGCATTTACAATGCAGACTACAACACAATCCAAGGCCTACAATGCAGTCCTTTCAGCAGTTCCACTCCCATTTGCACTCTGATACGGGTGACTCTGAGGGCACAGAAAAAAAGCCCTCAAGAGTTCTCAGGGAGAGTGCCAACAACCAGATGACTGCAAAGAAATGTGAACCTTCCAACCCACTCCCTCCCAATCCTGTCAGACCCAATCCTCCCATTGCCTCCACCATTCTTCCAGAACCCATGAAATTTCTTGGACAGGGAGTAAAAACTCGTCTTCTTCCTTAAGGAAAAAAAGTCCAGTTGCCTTTTGAAAAAGCACCTTTGAGACAACTATAACCTGGAGGACTGAGAATCTCCACAGACTGAAAGGGGACTCTGTTACAACCCAGGATGATTCTGGTGGCCTGCTTTGAGATGCTTCTTCCAGCTTTGTGGGGACTGAGTATATATAACCACAATACTCTGAAACCCCAGCTTGGAGGGGAGAAACCCCCTCTACTTCAACTTTTGTGTTTCCTTCATATCTGTGCGGTCCATAAGGCGGAAGACATCGATTTGCACAAATTGTTTTTCAGAGGAACCTGTGGAAAAGGTTATGGAACCCGCATTCATTCTTATGCTTCTGTTTGAATTTGCAAAGATTTATTAGGTGAACAGTCTCCTTCTCCAAAGGATGGGACCAACCTCCCGCCCACTGTGAGATGCAGAACAGACACAGCCGTGCAAAGTGGCAAAGTATTAAGAGTGACTAGTGCCCCAATAATACAATCTTTCTTTTTTTTAAAAAAAAAAAATGCCACCAGGCATGCCTAATGTTAGAATATGGAAGGCAGGAAAACAGGGAGAAAAGCATTTTGTCACACACACACAGCCCCGAAATCATTGGTACCTTGGCTGGTGGTTGGGTCTAAATATCATGAAAGGTCATTGCTTAATGCAGGGGCAATTTATTCTGAGTGAAAGCCACACTTTAAGTCAGGGCTGTCTGGTCTTTACAACTTTAAGACTTGTGGACTTCAACTCCTGGAATTCCCCAGCCAACTACGTTTTTTTTTTTTTTGTTTTTTTATCTTAATGATTTTGCAGGTTAGGACACAATCAAGCTGAACAGATGTGATTAATGTAAAGCAGGGGTGTCCAACCTTGGCAACTTTAAGCCTGGAGGACTTCAACTCCCAGAATTCCCCAGCCAGCTGGCTGGGGAATTCTGGGAGTTGAAGTCCTC